CGGTGAGTGCCTTTGTCCCTGTTCTCCTCTCCAGATGATCGATGGCGAGGCATTCCTCTTGCTGACACAGGCTGACATCGTCAAGATTATGAGTGTCAAGCTGGGCCCGGCACTCAAGATCTACAATGCCATCCTCATGTTCAAGAACGCTGATGACACCTTAAAGTGACTTTTCTTGGCCCGATCTGGACCCTCCCTCAGCACCGGTGCTGCCAAACTGTCTGATCAGGACAGAGACTCCCCCCGACCGACCGCAGCTTGTCATGTCCTGCTCATGTCCTCTCGGATGCCGCATCTCCGCTCCCACCAGTCCATCTCCCGTCCTCTCCCCTCCGCTCCGTGCTGCACCTCCCCTTCGGCGGAGCACACGCGATCTGGACCCTCCCTCAGCACCGGTGCTGCCAAACTGTCTGATCAGGACAGAGACTCCCCCCGACCGACCGCAGCTTGTCATGTCCTGCTCATGTCCTCTCGGATGCCGCATCTCCGCTCCCACCAGTCCATCTCCCGTCCTCTCCCCTCCGCTCCGTGCTGCCCCTCCCCTCCGGCGCTGGGCACAGGCTGACCCCAAGCCTCGGGGGCGGCTGCAGGGACGGAGGGTGGATGTGGGACTAGCCTGTCTTAGCGCGACAGCCGCCCCCCGTGTCCCGCCGTGACTGCGCCGATCCGGGGGGGGCGCGTTGAGGGACGGGGGAGCAGTGCGGAGGGTGTCGCAGCTGAGTGCCGAGGCCACCACTCAAGTCACCCGGCTAAGGGAAGGGACTGACTGCCCGCGGACGTGCTTGCACCCGTTTAAAGGCTGGTCCTGGCTTTGCTCAGCAGCTGAGAGAGATTCCCCCCCCCAATGTGTTCCTCTGAGGGGGCTTGTGCTAACATCACTTCCAAGGGACGCTCTCAAGGAGCTTCTGCTCACTTTGCCTTTTTCTCTGCGTTCTTTTGACTTTCCCGTTTGAGTCCAGATGATGACTTAGCTTTGCCCCTTCACCGCGCTGGGAGCCAGCGGCCCACCTCGTGCCCCTGCCAGGGAGCAGCGTGGCCGGGCTGCCGCTCTGCCCACGGCCGGCGCCTCTGCTTTATTCCTCTTCGCTGCAGTGCCACAGCCCGGGGCCCCACGGGGCCAGGGCTGGGTGGGTGCAGGACAAGCTCCATTTCTTCTTGCGCTTCAGGCTGTCTTGGCGGGTACGTCTCTGGGAGAAAGGATGCTTGGTTAACTTGTTCCCCTTGCAGCAATCAAAAAATCCTCTGCAAAGGAGAGTCGGGCCCTCTTTGCTTCACGTATTAGGAGCAAGGCGCTTTCTAGAGTGGAGACAGCTGCCGAGGACAAGAAGCATCCGTTCCTCTGGAGGCAGATCCACGGCTCACTTCTGAAGGTGTTCCGGAGTTGGCTGGCTCGATCCCACCAAGCCTCCTTCTCCCCCTTTTTTGCCCTCGCGAGGCCCCCGGGTTTTGCTGTCTGAAGTCCCAGGATCTTCTGCTGTCCCTGGGTTCCTTACCTGCAGAGCTAAAAGAAATTCAGCAGTTCACTGATTTCTTTCTGTCCTTTAGTAACATAGCGCCCTTTCAACAAGGCTGCAGGCACTTTGGGAATGCCCATGTAGCGCTGTCCTTGCGATGGAGGAGAGGCTGAGGAGGCTAGGACTCCAGAACTAGGAAAGCCAGCGTGGCTGGGGGTCCTGGCAGAGTCCCAGGCAGCTTCTGGTGGTCCCTGTGTCCCCTGGCAGCACCCACGCTGCTCTCGCCGTGGCCTGTCGCCCTTCCGTGCACGCCTGCCGCGGCTGCTGGTGGGGCAGTGGTGGGGCAGTGCTGGAGGGCGGCCGCCTGCCCCAAGGGCTCTCCGTAGTCCGCAGTGATGCGATTCGAGTCCCATGTCGACTTCCTTTCCCATTCCCAAGGATGACATATCAGTAGCAAAACAATTTTTCCCTCTTTCCCAGCGCCCACAGACAGGGATGAAGGGATCTTAGCAAGCGCACCAGCAATGTATCTTGGAGCAGCACTGCCTTGGGAGCCGCCATCCCACCTGGGTCAATCTGTTCTAGGCTTCCCATGGAAATGTAGCATTTTGACTCTTTGTTATTGAATATTTGGGGTCACGTTTGACCTGCTCTTGAAACGTCTGCTGCTTGCTCTTCACGCAGGACTTGCAACTAGTCTGTGTATTTGTTTTCTCAATGCTTGGGTTTGATTTAGGCAGCTCTCCCTCTCCTTTCCTTTTTTATTTTCTTCCATCTCTTCAAGCACTGCGGTGCGGCCAGCTGTGCAAGAGGGGGAGTGGGGAGGAACAGCTGTGTCCCTGGTCCCACTGTCACTCCTCGGGTCACCCTTGATCTGCAGTAAATGGTCCTGAAGTCGGTCTCTTCGGTTGGTGGGGAGTCTCCTGGGCCGCCGCGTGCTGGGCAAGAAGAGGAGGAGCCCTGGGACCTTCAGCTGTGGGACTCTGTGCGAAGGGTGCCGAGACCTCTCCAGCTGCGGTCTGGAATGAGACGGCTCCCTTGCACAGGACGTGGTTATTCAGCTTAGAAGGAGACATCTTGTGAAAGCATCCTGTTCTCGTCTGCCCCGTTCCCTCGCGCCAAGTCATTCCTCCTGCTGGGGCAGGGACTCGGCGCAGTCCCTGGGTGCTGGGAGAGGAGTTGCTACCCGGGTGTCAGATCTGAAACTGGCGTGAAGGATGGAGAGCCCTGGAGAGCTGAGGTGGTGGTGAGCTCAGAAGATCCCTGCAGAAGGGGAAGAGGAGCCATGAGCCAAGCCGTGGCTGGTCCACAAGACTGGGTACAACCAACACTGTCGGCTCTTGCCCTGCTGTTGGGTGCCATCAAGCTGTGCTCTGCCTGGGCACCAGCAAAACAGGCAGAGGTGCACGCTCCGGGCTGTGCCAGCCACGGGCATCAGCGGGAGGCTCTGCCTGTGGGGTACGGCCTTGCCTGGGCTCTTCTGACCTCCCTCTAAGAGAGCAGACGCAAACTGGAGAGGCCGCCAAGGTGCTGCCCCTTGGCTGGGGGGGTCTGGCTGCAGAGCTGGATCCCGGGTCTCTGCTGGGTCCGAGCTCCGCGCAGGGAGCAGCCGCCAGGAAGGGCGGCCCCCCGGCAGCGTGGTGCGAGACGCCAGGCTCTGTCGCACGCGGTTCCCTGCTGTCCTGAGCATCGGTTCATCAGCCTCTCGGGCCGACCCGGCCCTTTGGGTGCAAAGCTGCTGGATTCATCTGGGTGAGAGAGTTACGGGGTTTGTAGATGGTCAAGGGCTATTTACTGTTAAAACTCAACCTTCTTGTTTCCTTGAAAACCAAACCAAGCCCAAAGCGCTGTGTGTGTACATGTGGATGGGTGTTTGTGGAAGCACCACGACGCCGCTTCCCCTACTGTTGCTGTGTCGCTGTTTCAGTGTGGTGGTCTCTGTGGCTGTGGAGGCAGCAGGCTCTGGTCCCAGCGTCTTGGGCGATGTGTCTGCCGTCAGCAGAAGTACTCTCTGGTCCCAGCAGGGAAGGCAGGGGAAGGAAGGTTTGCTGCGGCCCTGGCCTTGGCAGGTCATCCATCTCTACAGAGCGCTGACGGGGAGTCCCCCCTCAGGGAGCACCAGGGGCAGCGGTGACCAAGGCAGAAGCACCAAAGTTTTTCATCCTTCCCCCCTTGCCCGACCAAGCTCCTCACAGGGATGTCCACTGCCGCGTCACTAAGAAGCCGGAGAGGACAACGGCGCTGAGTCTGGCCCACAACTTCCTCTCTGGGTTCTTTCTGAGAGATGTGACTGCAGCTGAAATTTCTAAGTCAATGAAGAATTTTTCAAGTCAAATATTTTGTCGAGTGGAAGCCGCTAAGCCTGCGCTCCTGTCATTCCTGCCCCTGCTGCTGCAGATGGCATTGGTGGGGCTTAGCTGGAGCCAGGGGGGATGTCCCACCACCTGCTCCAGCCTGGGGCACGGGTTGTCTTCTGGGGCGGCTGGTCCGCAGGTGGCTCCGGGTGCGTGGGAGCAGTTGGAGCCCCTCGGGAAGGTGTTCCCCCTTCCTGGTGGGAACGGGCAGCGTCGTGACGGTGCGAGGCCAAGGTCTCCAGTTCAGTGAGAGCAGCCAGCCTGAAGCTCAGCGAGGAGGGCGGCCATGCCTGCCTCGCCAGCACCCAGCTCTGCCTTCCTCCGCTGATTTCCGTGTCGATCGCAAGCACTTTTTGAAAAGAAAGAAACCTTCCAAGTTGTCTAGGAGGGGTGAGGGCTTGGGGCAGCGGCCACCTGCAGAGGCAAATCTGGGGCCGTGAGCGCAATGAGGGGCGTTGGAGCGGAGGAGGGGGATGTGACCTGGCCGCTGCTGCTCCTCGCTCCGTAACCTCCGGGAGGGGACCCCTCGGCACAGCGGAGAGGGCCAGGCCGGGGGGCTGCAGCCACGCTCCCTGCCCCCAGCCCGCCCCGGGGCCCAGGCTCCCCGTCCTTGGAGGGGTGAACAGGGGGGTGCAGTATGGAAGGAGCGCGGTGATGATAACAAAAGCTTTTTTGCACTTTCGTTCATTTTGCACTTGTTTTTAATTTCTTTTTTCCGCGTTTTTTGATATTCGCACCTCCTCTTTGTGTTTTCATAACAAAAATACAAAATACTTTTGTTGTAGCCAGTGAAGCTCTTCTGGAACTTTGTGTCCTGAGTATACAGAGGTTTAAAGGTCCTATATATATAAATTTATATCTGTATAAAAGTAAATTTATATATATAGATCATGGTGTGATGTGTTTCGTCAGTGTTTTAAAATAATAAACGAATGTGAGCAATGGAAGCCTGCGCAGCTGGAGACTGGTTATTGAGCCCTGCTGCTCCCCCGGGGAAAGGCGCTTGTCCTTGCTGGGGACCGGTCACAGGGACACATGGACACACCAGGGCGGGGTATTTATCCCACGCCGAGTCGCCGGGGGGTCTCCCAGTGCTCCCGTACTGGTCCCAGTGGCGGGCAGTGCGGCGGCTCCTCCGGCCCGGCGGCCGGGGCAGTGCGGCTGGCTCCTCAGCGGGGAGCTGAGCCCTGGCCTAGTGGGGCCCATGGCGGCGGCTGCACAGGGCCTCCGCCACGATCAGCCCCAGCAGGACCAGGACCGCGGCCCCCAGGGCCAGGCGCACCGTGTTGCACCGGGTGTAATCTGCGGGGGAGAGGGAGGGACAGTCAGCGGGGGCCCCTGGGAGGACCCCCCCCGGGAGTCCCACCCTGGGAGTCCCACGGGGGCTACAGGGGACCCAAGGGGACGGAGGGGGCACACATGGGGCTCCCAAGGCAAAGGGACACGTGTGGACACGCTGGGGAGCCCCCGGGCTAAAGAGGGGCAAAGGGAAGCTCACAGGGAGCCCCAAGGGCGCCTGTCGGCTCTACCTCCCGCGTCCCTGCCCCCGGGACACCCCTGCCCGCAGCCTCTGACCTGTCACCCCGCCCGGTGGCACCACAGACGGGGAGGAGAGCAGGACCATGGAGCTGGCCCTCAGCTGCCACTGCCGGCCGGCCGGTGCCGCTGGGCTGTGAGGAGCCCCGCGGCTGTCCCCGGGGCGGGTAGGTGCAGGCACAGGCATACCCTGACCCTTGCCCCACCCCGATGGCCTGGCAGCCCTGTGTCTATAAGGTCTATAGGTCACCTGTAGGGTCTGTGAGGGGCTGGCAAGGCTCAAATACATCTGAAGAACGCTGTAATCCTCTGCTTGAACCCTTATTACAGCTGCTTTCCTCCCTCACATCCTCTTTTCTAGTTCCCCCAGGACGTGGCAGATGCCAGGGAGGAAGTGACCAGCACGATGTGGCTGGGGGACGTCTCACCTCTCACCACCAAATCCAGGGTCTTGCTGACAGCAGACCATTCCAACGGAGCACCGCCGGTGAAACACTGGCAGCTGTAGCGGCCCTCATTGCCTTTATGCATGCGGGAGAGGTTGAAATCACCTTGTCCCTTTGGGAGTAAGGTGGCTTCGACCTGGCCCTCCAGGTACAGGAAACAGCCAGCGCTGGCGTGCGCGATGGTGCAACGGAAAGCCACGTAAGCTCCTGCGGCCACCTCATGCCCAGGCAGGACAGAGAGGACAGGTCTGGGGAGACGGAACTCTGTGGGGAGAGGAGAGGGCATGAGAAAGTGTGCAGTGCCTTGACACGGTGCCGGGAGCCACCAGGATCTCCGTGACCCCACCGCCTGGCTCAGGCAGGGGTGAGGATGGTCCCCACCTCTCCAAGCCAGAGGAGAGGGGAAAAACCCTGCCCATCATGGGGACGGGGAAGGCAAGCGGCTACGTGCATCCCCGCCTGCCCGTGGGGCGGCTGAGCCCGCGCATCCCTCACCTTTCACCCTGACCTCCACGGTTTCACTGCGAGCCAGCACAGTGCCTCCATCCACGTAATGGCAGCTGTAGCCACCTTCATCCTTTTTGGTGGCATTAGAGATGGAGAACTCGGCCCTGCTGCCACGCAGCTCCAGGGTACGGATCCAGTGGCCGCCCTTATACAGCACGAAGTTCCCATTGCCACACTGGCAAACGCAGCAGATGGTGGTGGAGCCTCCTGGTGGGATCACCCCAGGCGGCTTCAGGAAGATGGAGATTGTGGGGGCACCTGCACAGGGAGAGAGATGCTGCCAGACAGATGGGGAGTCCCCAGCGCCCGGCCGCCCTGCGGCGAGCCCGGGGCCGGCTCCAGGCCCCATCTCCACACAAGGGCGAGTTTTGTTCTGTGCGTGGGGAAGAGCCCTGGGAGATGGGTGGGGCCCACGTGTCCAAACTCCCCGTCCACCTCATGATACTCACTTGGCGTAGCCTCGCTCTGTGCCGCCAGCCAAGCACCTGCGAGAGAAACGGCCGTGTGACATCGCCGTGGAGTTTCTGGACGCCTCACGTCCCTCCCTGGGAGCCCACACAGCCTCTGGCACTCACCGAAGGCTAGCACGTGGGTCACGGGCAGCATTGTGTCCCTCCTGGCTCCCTCCGTCCTTGGCTCAAGCAGGGCTTCTTCAGAGGAAGGCGTTGGCCGGAGGCACTGAGCACTGTGGTTTCTTGTGGGTCCTGATACGCCCTCGTTGCCACAAGCCACCTTCTGTCCCACGGCTCGGATTCCTGCAGACACAATCGCAGGGCTGGGATGGTTGAACTGGAACCAGTGCGTCCCAGTCACCTGCCCGGGGCTGGGCACCCGTGACGACCTGGGCTTGGGATCCTGCGAACCTTAGGAGAAGCTATCGCAGCTTTTGTTTCTCTTTCTCTGCTCCGGTCACTTGATGGGGAAACGGCTTCCTCTCAGCCCTTGCGAAACAGGGTGATGTTCTGCAACCAGGGCGGGGAGAAGAGGCACCGCAGGGCTCGTTCTGAGTCTCGGTGAGAAAGCTCCAACCACAAGTGGCATCATAAAACAGCTGGTTTAATAAGACAGAATAAAAAGGGGACTACAGATAGCAAGTGAATCTTACATCCCCTCAGGAGGAGCGCACCCCGCTTTCCTGCAGCGTTCGTGGACCCCGGATGGATTTTCCCAGAGCACGCTGCGCAAATCCCATCTGTGGAGATGTGTCCGGCATCTGAAGGGGCATAAGATCTACTTGTGATCTATATTCCTCTTTTTTATTTTATACCATGAATACATTATTACTCCATTCGTTGTCAGGCCTTTCTCAGAGGTCCAGGAAGACCTCTGTGTTGTAGCAGTCACTTTTTAGCTCAAATAAGAATCCGAAGACCTGCTGAAGCGGCCACTGGACTCCTCCAGGGCTGTCGGCTGCTCCATGTGGTCCCCCCTAGACCCTCCCTACCCTTTTCTTTCTCCCCCCTTCAGCCCTTTGGGTCTCCCTCGGAGATACTGTGGGGTAGGAGGAGTTTTGCAGCAGGGTGCCCTGTGGCCTTCTCCTTTCCCGGGGCACCTCTTCTGGCCCCGTCTCCTGTCCAGCCCCCCCTTTGCCTCCCCCAGGCTCGACCAATTCTTAAATATCTAAAGCTTTAATGAACAATGCCTTGGGCAGAGTCCTACCACCTAAGCGGTTCTACAGGGAGTCTGAAAAGATGCGGCAGGAGCCAGCTCCTTACACACACTTGCACCAGCACCGAAGCACCAAGCCTGTGAGCGCGGGCTGTCCCCCGTGCCAGCTCTGCTGGCCAAAGCTGGCCCCCCAGCGATTGCACTGCATGACGACCAGGCTGCTGCACTTCTTCCCTCATCAGCAAGGGAAATGGTGTCCCCGGCATCCCTGCTCCCAGCCAGTTTAACCCTTTCTGCATTTGGGCATCCTCACCTTCCATGCCAGATCACTCCTTGGTCACAGATCACCATTGCTGAGCAGTTGCACCTCACCCGGTTCGCCTATGCTCCGTGTGCCTGCAGCTGAGCTTTTTGTCACCTAACGTAACAGTTGCCAGCTCTAGGGGCCGCAGGACTCCAGTGGGACAGCCGGCTCCATCCTCCTGGTGCAGCGGTAGCACGTGTGTGGCCCACCTGGCTGGCCGGTGGGCCCTGGCACTGCTGGGGGGCCCATCTCCATCCCCACAGAGGAGGAACATCCCAGCTCTGGCATGTGTAGCAGATGCTCATGGCTGTCCCCAGTCCCACCACAGCTCTGAGGCTCATGGGGATGGAGAGCTTGAAGCCATGAAACACTGACCTGCACGCCATCGCGGTGAGGAGCAAGGTGGCAGAAGGAAGAAGGTGAGGAGCCTTCTCCAAAGAGGCGTCCCACTGCATCCCCTGAAATTTGTCCTACGCTCGCCCCAAGGCAGCATGTCCTACAGATGTTCTTATCTTCACGTGTTCCAAGCAGTCTCCATGTCCTTGTGGTCTTCAGGCAATCTATGTGGTCCGTAGTCCTTGTAGCCTTACTGCGGTGTCCTTGTTGTTCTGATGTGGTCTGTGCAGCCAGTGTGATTTCCTGTGGTCTCCCCATGGTCGGTAACATCCCTGTGGCCAAGATCGGTCTCGTGATCCATACAGTGCAAGTGATCTCCATACGGTCCCCATGCTCCATTTGATACAGCCCCTTCATCCAGGACAGTTCAGATGATTCTGAAGTCCAGTCATAGGCAGGAGACCAGAAAACTACCCCACCGGGGTCCCTGTCCCTCCCAGCCTTGTCCTTAGCGCTGATGTCCCCCTGTAACCTCTCCCCAAGGAATCTGTGGACACCCACTGGTGTGCTGCCCTGCCTGAGCAGCAGCATCCTCTGCTGAGATGGTAAGAGAGAGAGATGGATGGGTGGGTGGATGGATGTGTGGGTGGGTGGATGGATGGATGGGGGTGGGTGGGTGGAAGAAGGTCTGTGAGGCCCTGATCTGAGATACTTGCCCTCCACAAACACACATCCTGGTCCCACATCTTCCTGGATACGTCTGGCTCCCGTGTGTTGCCCCCAGATACGTCTTGGTCCCTCCCCACCCTTGACACACGTATTGTCCCATATTCCCCACCTGGAGATATGTCCTGGTCCTACCTCACCCCAGAAACCCCTATGGATGGCCATAGGTCCAGCTCTGTGCCCAGCAGAGTCCACAACATGGATCCCTGCTGGCCCCATACCTCACCAGGTCCCCTGTCCCTGACCGCCCTGGGACAGCCCATGTCCTCTGTTCCCCAGTGCCTATGTCCCTGGAGATGCCTTTCTCAGTGCCCTCCAAGTCCTTGTATCCTCCCATTCCGTCTGTTCCCACACAGTTCTTGTGACTGGGGGATGTCCTCGGCTGCCTGTCCATGGGGCCAAACCGCATGGATCTACCAGGTCCACCAGGCAGGGACATCCCTCTAAGAGGTGACCTTTTTGAAGGCGTTGGGTGGGCTCATGGCCACCCGGAGACTCCTCTTGACCAGGGGCATGGGGAGTTGGAAGAGACCTGCTAAGCCTTCCCTCTCATCAGTCCCACCACAGCCCTTCAGCCCATGGCCATGTCCCCATGCCCCCCCACCCCACAGCAATTCCATCCCACAGACATGTCCCAAAGTCCCCCCCTCCCCCAACAGCTATGTCCCACACGTACCCATCACCCCATACACCTGCTCCACATCCTCCCTACCCCATTTCCATGTCTCCATGTTCTCCCCACTCCACTGCCATGTCCTCCATGCCCCCACCGTATAGCCACATCCCAGTGTCTCCCTGACCCATAGCAATTCCACCCCACCGCTATGTCTCCATGACCCCACGTGCCATAGTGACGTGCCCCTGCTCACAGCAATCCCACCCCACAGCTGCGTCCCATGTAACTCCACCACCCCGTAGCTGCACACCCATGGCTCCCACCCCATTGCCGTGGCCCCACGGCCACCTGCCCCATAGCCATAGCCCCATGGCCCTTGCCCTGCTGCCATACCCCAATGGACCCCATCCCACTGCTGCGGTCTTGCAGGCCCTGCCCCATAGCCATAGCCCTATGGCCCCTGCCCTGTAGCCACGGCCCCGAGGCCCTCGCCCCGTGGCCACGGCTGCATAGCCGTGCTCCCATGGTACTGTGCCCCATAGCCATATTCCCGTGTATCTCTGACCCATGGCCATACCCCGGTGGCCCCATCCCTGTAGCCATATCCCCATGCCCCCCCACCCCATTGCCACGATCCCCAACCCATAGCCATACCCACACGCCGCCCCCGCCATAGCCATATTCTGTCGCCCAGTGGCCCCCACCCCATAGCCACATCCCTGTCGCTACGGCCCGCCGCT